GACTAAAAATTCAATCTCGTTCCGCGTAATTGACGAAAAATCTGCTTTTATTCTCATTAACGAGGCGCGGGGTCGACGTCCGGCGTCGAAACGAATTTCCAAAGCGTCACCGAAATCGCGAACCCTCGAACGACACCGGAAAAATTCGGCTGCTCGATTCGTTTCGACCTCTCCGCGAATATTCCCCTTGTGCCCGGCCATTTTGCTTAAATTAATCTCGACCGGATTAACGAAACTGCTACAACCGCCCGTTCACCGTGGTCGCAACAAATTCTCTGCCTGTTCAATTAACCCCCCTTGACCCCCTTCGTCCGGCGACATTGGAAATTCGTTGATTAAAAACTTTTGTTTATGACACCGGATACCCGGGCGAGTGGCTATCAAAAATGAAAGCCTCGCGCCGTGGTTGCAGTCGTTTATCCATCCCCGACGGCTTCTTCGTTCGAGCTGAAGCGTCGAGATCCAACCCTAACCTTAGAGGGGCGCAATATCGGACTAGAAGTCCTCTAGTCGCTTTGTCGATCGACGCTGGCCATTGTGAGCGTGACCAAGCACACTTATGGCGTTTTCGGCGCGGGATCATCAGGTTTTGTTCCATCAGGGAATGATTGTATGGCGCGTGAAGTCGCAGAGACAGTGTCCGATGCACTTGCGAAGATTGAAATGGATCAGAATGTTTGGACGTGTGTGATACGGTTTCACCGTGCCCCTTTTTGCTTTTATTTTTCGGTTCCTGTTTGGGGTTTATGTTTTATTTTATTTCTCGGTGCTCGTTGATCGGTGGAGTTTTGATTAGGATTGAGGAGATTACTGTGTTCGGTTATATAGCGTTCGATAGATACGATATGATAATTATCTTCTTTGGTTGTAGGTTCATTTTCCTCTGTCACCCTTGTGATGTTGATTTATACATTTTTGTATTTAATTTTGTGTAGATTCGAATGGAAATCGTGACGTCGTTTATCATTTGATAGGTATGATTTGGTCGTTATCTTATTTGGTTCTAAGTATGTTTTATTTTTGCACTGTTTATTGACGTTTATTGACGAATTTTAGGTTCGGTTGTATAGATTGGCACGTGGATCGTCGTAAAGTCAGCTCGCGAATTATTCCGCGCTCGGTGATAGGCGACAGTCGTAGCTCGCGGAATATTCCGCGCTCGGTGATAGACGACAGACGTAGCTCGCGGAATATTCCGCGCTCGGTGATAGGCGACAGTCGTAGCTCGCGGAATATTCCGTGCTCGGTGATAGACGACAGTCGTAGCTCGCGGAATATTCCGTGCTCGGTGATAGACGACAGTCGTGGCTCGCGGAATATTCCGCGCTTGGATGCAAATGGGTTAATTAACAACGATCTTTAGAATCTGATTAAATATGGCGATTGAAAGTCACCTCTCGAGTGCAAAGGAATAATATCAAAATAAAGATGACGATATTTAACTATGACGTTAAGTTGAATAAGAATTAGGTATAAATATAATTTCGTTGGGAAGATTTGGATGGAAAATAAAACGATGCTCTATGATCTATGATCATAGCTGTATAAAATAGATTGTAACGTAATGAAAGAGATATTTATGTTTCCTCGATTTTCTGTACTCCTAATCGGCTGCTACCCGAGATTTAATCTCTTGTTTCGAGTAGTTGATTTCACATTGTTCCGGCGTTTATAAACTTTTTTATTGTCATCGAATCGTTTCTATACGTGTAGCATAGCAGCCGAGATTGAGAAACTCTGAAGAAAGGATGACGAAGCGTGCAGCAATGGCGGTGAAATTTATTTCTCGATAGTCTTGAAATTGCGTTGAAAGCTATTTCACGCAAGCTGGTCAAGGAGAACAAGTGAATACGATATTTTAACTGCAGTGAAAATTGGTCGATGAACCTTGTAGAACGTGTCTCTAATAATTATTAGAATGTATAGAACCGAAATAACAAGATTATTACAATGGGCAGCACAAGCTAGGAGATTTCAATATATTATAACACGAAATTGTCGAATTTCATTCTTCTGCAGCCTATAATTTTTGAAAATCGATAATTTACTATTAAACGATTCTGCAGTATACTAATTTATCACACTGCAAGTCGCATGAATTTTATTCGATCGCGAATTCTCAAGAAACTCCCGTTAATTTTCAAAATTACAAAATTAATTATTACAAAAATAAATTATTACAAAATTATTAAAAATTCACGGGCAAAATTCAGTCTAATTTTCGTTCATCCAATACAATAACGTTATTACTATAATTTATTAATAATTTACGCTATATGATATCAAAAATATTAGGTGAAATAAAAAGAAATCATTATTTTTATAAATACAAATACTGAAATATCCAAGTGCAGGCCAACATTGTTAACTCACTTCGTCTTCCATTATATTAGGTACAGTAATGCATGAAATTGAATGCAAAAATAATGGATTTCTTTTTACTTCACCTAATATTCTCACGAATCGTGCAGTGGTAATTTAAATATCTAATTCGCTACGAATGAAATTGAAATGCCCCAAAGATATCCCAAAAATTTCCAATCTTCGCGAATTACATTCACAACGCACGAAACAAGCCTCAAATAATCCCCAAATAAAGAAACGAAAATATTCTGCACCACGAAACCATTATCGAGCACGTCTCTCTCCTGTTCCCTAGAGACCGCATGGGGGCTCATAATCGCGCAAGGGTTAATCGCCAACGGGGTCCTGCACTTTGGTATCCAAACGATTCCGATCTTGACGATTTTCACGCGAAACTCCGCTATCGATCCACATCAAGCAGTCCGGAAACTTATTCGGGGCATTCGCTCCTACCCAAACCGGTCCCTCGCACGACAAACTCTCTTTACTCCGGTACCCAACATCCTATCCGACGATTCGCCGATAAGGACAATCCCACGAAAAGGAAAAGAAAGGAGGGAGAAAACGGTGAGGGGGAGGAAGCATCGAGGAACACGAAGAAACGAGAGCAGCGAGTATCGAAGAAAAATCGTTCAATTGTTATTCGCGTGACGCAGCAGAAAGATATTAGGGGTGGCGGCGAGCCCTATAAAACGCCAGCCCATCGAATGATAATGTAATAAGTGGCGGTGATAAGGAAAACTAGTTTGGCCGGACGAGAAGCGGCCGCCGAAGGAAATCGGTGGGTCAGCAATGGAAAATCGCTGAGCAGAAGCGAAGACGGAAAAGAGCAAACCCGTGGCGGGGATTGGGGGTGTAATGGATATTGAACGAGCGAGTGCAGGGTGGCCAGGAATCAAATCCATTTGCTCGTCACCTTATCGTTAAGTCATAATTGCGAGCCGCGATCCCATCGTCTTCCGGAACACTGTTCTCCGGGCTAGACAGGGGGCGCTGAGGAGGCGTTCGGAACGATGGAGCGCGATAAAACGTGCTCCAGAAGAAGAATTACGCGAGCAGGCGTTGATACACAGCTAGATAGCGCGGAGAGGGCGGGAGGGTGAGGCTGAATGGATTTCTGGTAAGCTCCGCGAGGAATATCGAAGGTGTCTTATCAGCGACGATATTTATAACCGGGAAACGGGATTCTCGCCAATTTACGTTGCATTCTCGAAATTGCCGGCTGGCAATTACTCAGGCGTATTGACGTAGGAATGAAGAATAAACGAGTGGGTTCATGAAGTTCCAGAGATTTTCTCGACTCTTGAGGGAGGAGTTGGGTCGGAATTTAAGGCGGAGGTAGCAGGTTCGAGTGGATGGCGGATCGAACAAGGTGATTGTTAACGATGGTAATTTAATTTGGAGATCGGTTTGGATTAACCTGGGTACACGCGAGATCTTAAACGGAGAATGCTCGAGTTTAGGTTGTTTTTCAGTTAATGGAGGAGCGTAATGGAAGCGTAATGGAACTTTTCAGAACAAGCTGCATTATACGTGTATAGCGTATGAGATAGAAAATTGGAGAGCATGATCCTTGAGAGTTGTTAGGGAATTTGGACCTTGGACCCCAGCCCAATTATCCTGTGTACACATTCAACCCTGCTCCTAGCCAAAATTTGATCCCTATTTAGAGATTACGCTGCCGGACCTTCGTATTTATGGAGACCATTTTGGATTCTTCGTAGATGGATTATATGAAATTGGAATTTTCTTTTTCGCTTTTTCGGGAAATTTAATTTTAAACATTGCACTTTGTTATTTTTATAATATATATCTTCCCAGAATAGCGAATTTTATTTCAATCGTCTCAACGTGGTATTAAAATATTTAAAACACCTCTAGCAGGTATAGTAATTTACCGACAATTCGTGGAAATTAAATGCATTTTCACTTCCCACCTCAAAATTTCTTCAGGAGCACGCAAAATAATAATTTTCATCTATACTCGGTATTCCAAAACTGCGAATTGTAAAATACCTCTATCAGATATAGTAATTTATCAACAATTCATGAGAATTAAACGCACTTCCACTTTTCATCCGAAAATTTCTCCAAAATAATCATTTTCAGCTATACTCGACATTCGAAAACTGCAAATTAATCACAAATTATTTATTCCAGTCGTCTAAACACCATTTCACAATTACCTAAAACACCCCTAACAGGTACCATAATTTATAACACCCCATTTTACCTACCCCTTCCTCGACAGATATTATTAAAACTACCAGCACCGAAACCAGTGCATGATCCATCATATAAAACAATATTGCTTCATGCCTCTGTACTTCCTTTAATCGCGAAAATTCGACTTTCCATGAACCTTATCTATAATACAAATCGCGAATCCTGCGCGAATCCTCCAGATAAACGATAACTCTCTCGCGTGCCTTTTGCAACAGGGCAGTTTGTTTGTAAAATTGGCCCGATCCCGCTCGATAAGTCTGCGAGGTAGAACACGGTTAGGCCAGCCCTCTGTCCGGTGCACGGGGTGCACAGAGTGCACTCGACGAGGGTCTCGGCAAACGTCATAGCACGGCGAACTTACGGCCCCGTTTGTACGTGTACGTGTGTGTATAGATGCCAGGCATACTCACGTATTTCATTGAAATAGAAAGGGTATTCGCCGGGCACGGAACAGTTGAGCCTCGCTTTCAGGAAGCTCGTCCATCTGTCGCTGAACGCATGAGGTCCGCCCTTGTCGTGCTGGCACACTCTACCGACCCGCGAGTACACCGCCTAAAACACAAATGCAGTTTGAGCTTTCGAACAATCGCCTCCTTCGATTCTTTCCTTTGCTACAACCGTCTTACTCCAACCTGTCACGTGCTATTGTATCCGGTTACTTCGCTGAGCAGTTGGGGCGAGACGGGGTAGGAAGGAACTCGTGGCGCGTGAAAATTCGAGGACACAGAGAATGTATGAGGTATCTAGGGCTGTGTAAGACGAAATAGGGTGGAGGATATGAGAGAAACTGTTTTTCGGGTTCGGTTTTATCGGGCGTTTGGAAAGGTCAGGGATTCGATTTTTGCCTTGGCGAGTTTGGGGTGCTTGCATTTTAAGATGCGCTTCCAGGGTTTTAGGAAAGGTAGGAGAACTGGGAGTTTCGATATGGTGATTCTTTAGGTTAAAAGTAAAGAGTAGGCTGAGATTCTAAGGTTTATTATATTTTTACAATATTATCAAGTGATGGGTTTGAGTTAGGTTTGAGAGGTTTAGAATAATTAGGAGAATTGTGAGTTTAGCTGTGGTGAATTTCTGGGTGAAAAGTAAAGAGTAAAATGAGATTCTAGGTTTATTATATTTTTACAATATTATCAAGTGATGGGTTTGAGTTGGGTTTGGGTTAAGTTTGGATTTTAAAATGTGCTTTGAGAGGTTTAAAATAATTAAGAAAATTTTGAGTCTGGTTATGGTGATTTTCTTGGTTAAAAGTAGAAAGTAGGATAAGATTCTGAGGTTTATGAAATTTTGAAAATATTATCAAGTGATGAGTTTGGATCAGGTTTGGATTTTAAAATGTACTCTGAAAGTTTTAGAATCGTTAGGAAAATTTTGAGTTTGGTTATGGTGTTCTTTGGGGTTAAAAGTAAAGAGCAAACTGAGATTCTAAGGTTTATTATATTTTTACAATATTATCAAGTGATGGGTTTGAGTTAGGTTTGAGAGGTTTAGAATAATTAGGAGAATTGTGAGTTTAGCTGTGGTGAATTTCTGGGTGAAAAGTAAAGAGTAAAATGAGATTCTAGGTTTATTATATTTTTACAATATTATCAAGTGATGGGTTTGAGTTGGGTTTGGGTTAAGTTTGGCTTTTAAAATGTGCTTTGAGAGGTTTAGAATAATTAAGAAAAGTTTGAGTCCGGTTATGGTGATTTTCTGGATTAAAGGTAAAGAGGAAGATGAGATTCTAAGGTATACGATATTTTTACGATATTATGAAGTGATGGGTTTAGGTTAAGTTTGGATTTTATAACGTGGTTTGCGGGTTTTGATAAAATTAGGGAAATTCGGTAATAGGGTTATGGCGATTCATTGGGACAAATGGGATGAGTTTCTGAGATGTATGGAATCTTGAAAATATTATTTAGTAATGGGACGTTTCTTTTTAAATATTATTTATTATAAATTATAATCTCTTTTGTTTCATGATCGGTTAAAATTATGTGTCAAAATTATTGTACCGATATTGTAGTATAATTTTATTAAATTTTTCTCAATTTTTAATTGCCAAAAATAACTTCAAAATTTCCTATCTATACAATAATGTCTTCCAAACCATATTATCTATGGCAATAAATAACTGTCACAAATTTGCTTCTTTACATATATCGATCACCATCGTGTCCTAGCAAAATTTCAAAAATTACGCTTAAAAACTAAAACGAATTTTAAATGAAATTTCAAAATCTCGCAAACGTTGTTACCATAAATCAATTAAAAATAATTTAGTACTCCATTCTCAATTACCTCGTTAAAAAAGCGGTTACCATTACCAAACCTTTCACAAAAGAGATTAATAAAATTTATAACAAATATCAAATAATAATTTCCGCAAAAATTCCCATTATAAATCAACCTTATACCGAAATAATTAATTATCCTCGATTAATCACTAATACGTGTCCCGTTCATTAACCAAATCGATCAAGCCCGCGAATGAAAAATAGCAAATTCGCTCACCGTGAGTCAACTCAAGAAACTCGATACGAATTTCAATTCACTTTGAAATAATTTGGACCGATTTAAAAAGCGGAATTAATCAATTTGGCCTATAAACGGTATTTGTTCATGCATAGCAACCCTTACCTTGCCACAATTCATGTACTCGACAGCGGTTTCACGGTAAAAGAAGAAAACGTAATCTTCGTATGCAAACGAGCTGACGAAGTTCGGTCCTGTAACAGCAACGTTCGAACTTTATTGCGAGAAACAGTACACACTTGGATGGTTTAAATTCAATACATCTCCCCTATCTCTTTCCACAACCACCGCCAACCCCTCTCGCCACTCACCCTCTCTCCCTCTACCCTTCTTCCTTTTTATTTTTAATTATATTTCTCGTTCGATAACGCTTGACGTATTTTACGATGCAGAGGAAATTATCCGTTCGTTTCGTACCGTGGATGGATCTTCCAATAACTTGGTAATTTCGAAAGAGCTGGCCGTATGATAAATTGCCAGCGGGATCGCGGCGTGGAAATTGCGATCGATCAAAAATTCCGGAAGCTTTAAACGGATTATGTAATTTATACAAAACTTCCATCGGCGATTCGCGATTCGCGATCGGCAATAAATAAGGCAGAGGCGGAAAAAGGGCGGGAAAAAAGGGGAAAAGGGAGAGAGATAGGAAAAAATAGGACAGCGGCGAGAGAGGGTGAAAGAAGTATGGCTAGGTGTACACGCAAATTGCAGCGTGTAATTTATGCAAAGCTTCTTACATCGTTTAAGCATCCGTCCATTATATACGAGCTGCGAGTATAACAAACACAATGGCGGGCGATAACTTTTCACGTGCGACGGTGTCGTAAAATTTTATATGAATGTGGCGCGATGGGAAGATACGGGTATTCAAAAATGGCACGGAAATTGCTCGACGTCCCGTCGTCCGCCGGTTTTCCAAATGCGACCGTTAAAATCTCCATTAAATAAATATCGAATATTTCAATTACCAGTGCTATCTACGGAATCAATAGCTTGCTTGTTGCATAGAGATCGTGTCTATTTCTCTTTTCTTTTCTTTTGGTTTCGTTTGAAATTCGCTATTATCCGGTGCACGTTTTCTACTGATATTTTTCAGCTGAATAGATCGCTGTCTGTATAGCTATGTTACGGGGATGTTGTTACGAATTGTCCGCTCACTGTCGGCCAAATTGTACCCGTTATGGTGAATGGTGGTTTTAATAATCTGCTTGCTATTTATACTTCGTTTTGATAGAAAGGACTGTGCCTTGTTACTTTGTCATACAAACGAATTTTTGGAAAAACTATGAAAGTGAATAAATAAAATAAGAATTTTAATAAGAATTTTAAATATAATTTAATAATTTCAACAATAACAAGTAAGGATTTATTTTAACAAATTAGAAAAAGGAAAAGGACTATAGAAATTTTAATATAATTTTGATAATTTGTTTTTTGAATTCATGGTTCCTTTTATTAGATTAATTTAGTGTAATATTATATTGATATATAAATTAGTTCTTTCTAGCTTGCTATTTATGTTTCGTTTTGATACGAAGGACAGTGCCTTGTTACCTTGTTATACAAACGAATTTTTGGAGAAACTATGAAACTGAATAAATAAAATAAGGATTATAGAATTTTAAATATAATTTTAATAATATTAAATAATAATTATTCTAGTCATTAATAACAGGAATTTTAATAAGAATTTTAAATATAATTTAATAATTTCAACAATAACAAGTAAGGATTTATTTTAACAAATTAGAAAAAGGAAAAGGATTATAGAAATTTTAAGATAATTTTGATAATTTGTTTTCTGAATTTATGGTTCCTTTTATTAGATTAATTTCGTGTAATGTTATATTGTTATATAAATTAGTTCTGTCTAGTTTGGGTTTTAATAATCTGCTTGCTATTTATCCTTCGTTTTGATAGGTAAGGACAGTGCCTTGCTACGTTGTTATATAAACGAAATTTTTAAAAACTATGAAATTGAATAAATAAAATTAAAAATAAGGATTTATTTTAACAAATTAGAGAAAGAAAGACGATTATCGAATTTTAAATAAGATTTTAATATTATAATGTTATATAAATTAGTTCTTTAGAGTAACTATAATTTTGCAGTAATGATATTGTTGAAATTTATTTGAAAACTGATTTTAAAAAATTTGCAATTAGATATAATCATTATCTTAAAATTTGTTTTTCAAATTTATAGTAGTTTTAGATGGCTCATTGTGTTTGTAATGTATATAATAATTAGTCAATTCCGATTTTATATTTTACGTGTTTCATAGTGAAGAATTAAATATTATTTTATGTATTTCTTTAGAAAAAGAAACAGGATTATAGAACTTTAAATATAATTTTGATAATTTCTTTTTTATATTTATGGTTTCCTTTATTAAATTAATTTAATGCAATATTATATTGTTATATAAATTAATTCTTTCTAATAATTATAATTTTGCAGTAATAATATTGTTCAAATTTACTTGAAAACTAATTTTAAAAGATTTGTAATTAGACATAATCATTATCTTAAAATTTGTTTTTCAAATTTATAGTAGCTTTAGATGGCTCATTGTGTTTGTAATGTATATAATAATTAATTAATTCCGATTTTATATTTTACGTGTTTCATAGTGAAGAATTAAATATTATTTTACGTATTTCATTTTGTATCATATTTTGTATCATAAATAAAATAAAATTCTCTATATTCTCGTAATTTATGGCGATGAAATATACTCTGATAAATGCAATTCAATGCATATGCTATACATATCGTTATAAAACGTAAACGAATATTCCAAGATTTATAAAAATTTAAATATAAAACGTTCCAATGGAATAAATAATTATTTCTTCGATATTATTCGTAATAAGGTAATGAGGTGCAATTTCACCATAATTATTTCGGAATTCGTCATCCTCAGGAATATTAAAATCACTAAATGGTGTCAGAGTAGATTTCAGTCTCTAAATCGAGCCTCGAGACACGAAAAAATGAATAAAAAATATCACAACGTGTTTGCAAGCAATAAACATTCATATGCGCATAAAAATTTCATCGATTTTACTTTTTTCACGGCAAATATATTTTTTGCAATTCACGAAACAGAAACTTTAATATCAACGTTAATATTTCGCTAGACGTTGTTATTTGTCACGCTTGAAATTATGATTCATTTTTTCTCTCGTTATTCGTGCGATTAATTATTTACCATAAACGAGTATAGCTGCTTTGCTTGCAATTTAGCGACTGGCAGAATATAATAACTTAGTTTGTGCATTTACAGCGAACCTTGCATGCAATTGCGCCACATCATGACGAAGTTGTGTACTCTCTGAATGACAATTCCGCGAGTTACAACAATTTCGTACCTTCGTTCGAGATAAATTAAAAATCGCGTTTCCACGTGTCTATTTATTCCAAGCTTTAAAAAATATTACGAGAATCCAAATTCCCAGAGGCATTCCAAATATTTATTAAATAATTAATAAAAAAATTATAGAATTCCAACGCTTCGCGAAATTGATTTTATATTTATTTATTTATTTATTTAATAATAATTTTGCGGGTAGTAGAACTCATTAAAGTATGAACAAAAAAATTAAAAATACATAATTTTGTTACAGTTACATCGATTTTTAAGTATATGTGTGTTGGGATGAGTGGAACAAGTATGCATGGGATTCCAATATGTAACGAATGCAGGTTATGATGATAAATGAATATGCGTGTAATGATTGAAGTGTGTGTGAATTGTATGTATGTCAATGTAATGTATGAAGAAGAAAGAAAAATGAGAGTGATTTGGGATACGTTAGTTTCAATTGAGTTATAATAGTGAGAAGTCCTGTGATAGAGTAATTGTGAGAAATTAATTATATTTAAACGTTATATTTGTGTTTTATAATCTTTCTAATTAAATAAAGAATTGTTCTTGTTATTGTTAAATTTCACCCACCACTAACAGTTGTGTAGAGAAGGGTTATTAGTAGTTAGTTGTTTAGTTGTATTTTAGTTGTAACTGGCTGAGTTGTCATTGTGTCGATGAGTTGAGTTGTAGTCTTAAGTTGTAGTTGGCATAGATTCGTATACTTAATCGTCACCCACATATTGTTCATTTAATCCATTACTATTTTTAGTAATAAATAGTCTTATTATTTACCACCAATCATAGTCTCTACATTATTAATAATTACTAATTTATTATTAATTTTACTACAAATAGAGTATTAAGGGTAGACAATTATATTTATATTATTACACGTAGTTGTAATTATAATAAAATATCCAGTTGTTTAGAATAAAACAAGCGAAATGTAAAATAAGAGCTAATATTACTGAGAACCGGTAATTCCTTCATTTTACAATTAACAAATTCAGAAGCTGCTTACTTTAAACTTCTCTTATTAAACACAAATGAAATCAGAAAAAGGTTGCTCCCTTTTGAATTCTCTTTCAATTTTCTTTTGAAATACCGGACTCGTAAGAAATTGTTCTGGGAAATATAAAAACTGTTTTGTTAAAAAGGTAACGAGGGAGAGAATCGTGAGTAACGTGAACTTACAGTCACAAACAACCCCGTATTTCTTCATAATCTCACTTAGCCTCTCGCACAATGAGAAGCTTCATCGTCGAATAATTTTTATAAGGAACCAGTCTTTGAAGTAAAAACTCCTCATTTTTAATAAGTATTATTCGTTTTAATAAGGAACGAGTACCAACCCGTAAATCTTATATACACTAAATAAACAACCCTAATTTAAACATTTCACACTTACACCCTCGCATAATAACAAATTTCATCGTAAACTTATTATTGCAAAAAATTGTTCCTTGAAATAAGAATTTCCTCCATTGAAAAGAACGATAAATGATGCGAATTTATAATTGCAGACGATTTAAAAAATTTGGTTAAGTCTCGAGTATGATAATAAATTTTTGGGTGAAACAATTTTCATAAGGAATTTTATCCGTGGAATAATAAAATTCCTTCGTTAAAAGGACTATCAAGAAGAGGACTATCATAAATGATGTAAATTCACAAGGAACCACGAACTCTTTCTACACTCTCACACGCTCTCTCGCGCAATATCAAATATTACCATAAAATCCTTTTGCAAAGAGAATGAAGAAATTAAATTGAGCGATGATTAAAATTCAGGAAATGCAATAAAATTTCTGTAACAAAATGGCAGAATGGTCCCCGCGCGTGTCACTCGGCAGCGGCCATTACAAATGTACTGCAGCAAAATGGCCCCTGCGCGTGTCACATCGCAGTGGACCATTCCGGATTCGCTGGCTTTAACGCGCGAATATTCTAATGCAATTTGCGTGACTTCCATTACCGTTCAGCTGGTTCAGATCCGAGCGCTCCGTGCGGATCTTCTCCCTGTGAATCAGCGGCTCGCCACCAGAGAAATCGGCCACTGTCGCGGCGTACAGCTGCCCCTCTGAAACATGCATAAACGCAGCCGTCAGTTCAGTCGCAGACACCAACGTTCACCAATTAACCCTCGAGGAGGACCATGGCTCATGATCGTCAATTGTGACCGAAATTCTAATTTACTATAGCAAATTTTAATTCAAATTTCTATCTTGATCCTATGTCTAGCTATGACTGACTTAGGTCCTACCTCTATTCACAATTTAGGTCGTATGTATATTCACAATGTAGGTTCTATATTTATTCACCGACATAGGTCTTATGTCTGTTTGCAATTTTAGTCCTATGTCTATTTATAATTTAGGTCTCATGCCTGCTTACAATTCAGGTCCTATATCTGTTTACATTTTAGATCCTATGCCTATTTATAATTTAGGTCCTACGTCTATTTGCACTATAGGTTCTATGTCTATTTATAATTTAGGTCCTATGTCTATTTACATTTTAGGTTCTATGCCTATTTATAATTTAGATCCTACGTCTGTTTATAATTTAGGTCCTACGAAGAGGTTAATCTAAAAAAATGAAGAAATGTGCTGAGAATATACCATTCTTCGTTTTAGTCAAATTAATTACAAGCTTTATTTCGCGGACCACATTCTGAGGCCTTGTGGACCAAGTGTTTAGCACCACTGTCTAGAAGATCACGTCTCTTCTTCATTCAGACTCTAAACCTACTTAACCTAACCTCCAGAGCTTGAAGAGTTTCTTTCACTCCAGCTTCGTTACTTTAATAAGAAGTCAGTTTTCATTTATTTCTCAGGAAATGCATAGTAATAGTGACAGTAGGTGAAAGTGGAGAATGGTATGTGTCTCATGTAATTCACGACAGTGACGTCAAAACAGTGTAGAGGGCCCCTTTCGTAAACAGGACTAGCTCAGTCCTACAAATATGACTTCTCCGTTTCGAGCATATTCCTCACTCGGATTTAGATAATAATTCCTTAAAATATCAGAATATTAAAATGAAATTCTCGTCAGTTGCTCGTAAAGAATATTTCATCGCGCAATATTTATTTTTATTCCCACGCGCGGATCCCAAGATCCGCTGTTTATTAATTACCGTGCCTCGCAGGCTAGATGTCGCTGGTGCTAGTTCTTCGTCGAGATTACAGCTATGGCGGCGGAGGAATCGCGCTGCATCTGAGTCAGGCAATTAAAGAGTAGCGAATTTCACCTGAGACTCGCGAATTCGCGTGTGCTTGGTATTCATTTTCGCTGTGGGGATTAGAGACGCGAGCGAAGCTTGTCACTAGGTGGCGCGTAATCCAAGATACGAGTGTCAGCCTATGCAAATCGCGGGGACTGTTAACAGCTATGGCTGAGGTGGTGCCGGCATAGGGCGAATTCGGGATAGCATCGAGGCGAGGGAATTGGGAGCGATGTTTTATGTGTGTTTATAACCGAGAAAGTTCCGAGTAAGAAGAGGGATGTTAGAGTTGACGTTAGGTTGCGGTAAAAGGTTGAAGTTGAGGTACGAGGATCACAGTTTCTGCTTATTTTTGGATTCTGGTATCGCGAGGTCACGGAAAAGTGCTTTGATATGATGTGGAGGAGAAAAGTTCAAAGGTGATAGAGGTTTGTTTGTTAGGTTATAAATTACGTCATGATAAACAGACCGTAGGTTCTAGCTCTCTGGAACAACAGTTTATTTCAATACTATTTGACTTTCGTCCATATTATAGATTTTTCTAAATAATCGGAATTTTCTTTCATTTTTCATTAAAACGTGTGCAAACAATAATAATAATTATAACCATATATATATAATTACGTTCCTACCTTAATAAAAATAAATAACACTGTCACAAGCGATTTAATTTTTCACTAAAACGTGTACAGACAATAATTTATATATGCAGACAATAATAATAATTATAGTCATATATATATAATTACGTTTCTACCTTAATAAAAATAAATAATATTGTCACAAGCGATTTAATTTTGCATTAAAACGTATACAGGCAATAATAATAATTATAGTCATATATATATAATTACGTTTCTACCTTAATAAAAATAAATAATATTGTCACAAGCGATTTAATTTTGCATTAAAACGTATACAGGCAATAATAATAATTATAGTCATATATATATAATTACGTTTCTACCTTAATAAAAATGAATAATATTGTCACAAGCGACTATGCATCTGTAATAAATGTAAAACCAAAGGAATCTTATTTCAAAACCAATTTTGATTTAGATTCCGAGTTCAGTGATTTTAGTGCAACTAAGTGCAACTATATTGCAACTACTTCTTTCTTTTAAATATCTGTTATTAATACTATAACGCGTAACTTACAATTCGTTCAAAATTATGAAGAATTTAACATTGTCACCTGTATCTAACAATATTCGCTCAATCAGTAAAAGGTTCAAATTGACACGAAATTCAGGACGATATTTTTAAAACTCCACCCCCCAATAATATATGGAACTCTCAGCAATTTCACTGGATTTTGCCGTCGCGCCTGTCGCAGTACAGAAAATACGAGCTTCTCGAATAAAATAAAAACGAGGCGTAGCTGGAACCGGTGGGTCGCAATTTGCGTTGACTTTAATAGCAACCTGAATACCATCTTATTAAACTCGTCTTGTTCTACCATGCGGGAAGATGGCACTCGACTTAATAACGAGCATTTATAAACGGAATTAAATAAAAATGGAGGCGTTCCGTCTGTCGCGAACCCGCTGCGACGACAGGTTTCCCTTTAGAATCCCCTTCAGAATTCCCGTTGAATTATCGACTCGTTACTGGCGATCTCTGATAACTGTCCACGAATGCTGGATAAATGATAACGCGTCGGCAACGATGTCACGGAATTTATTAGGCAGCGGTTTAATTAAACGCACCTTGAAAGGCGTTTTAATTAACCGGCAATCAGGGCGATTACATCAGGAATCGCGCGGATTTCGCGCGGAATAACAGCCGGGAACGCGAGCCGAGTACACAAATTTTCGCCGCCGCCGCCATTGCGACTGCATTAAACCGGAAGAAAAGCTGGCAAACGCGAAGTCTTTGTGCAGACGCTAACTAGATTGGCCTTCGGTGCAAAGGCTTCTTCCTCTTAGGAACTGCGAACTTGATTGGCTTTGTTATTGCCCCGTGTACCGTGGAAACTTGGCTAATGGTGTGATACAGCTAGTTTGCCGATGAATCAAACGCGGCTCACTGATGTTCAATGGTAAAAATAATTCGCGAGACCTATTCCCTATGTAGCTGCGAGGAGAATAACGATCGCGTGTTATTATTTCACTCCGAGGGACTTGGAGGCTTCTGTTCGAAGGATTAGGATTTATGGTATTAATTATTTTTAATTTGGCAAGGAATGAGGATGATGGATGGTAGTTGGATTACGTTACGTGTCTGGCAGATGGGAAGGATTTGATTCAACACTCCAATTAAGGTCTAATATTTTTTCCTCTTCTCCTGGAAAATGTGAGGCTCAAGGGTGTCTTGTTGACAGGCTTTCGACGAGGAACCACTTCTCTATTAATCAATCCTGCAGTTTTCTTTTCGATTCGTTATCTGTCACGCGTGATGCACAGAATGCTTCTTAATTTGGCAACAGGAAATTTCCAATTTGCGTACCTCGTTTATTATGACCGAGACAGACACGTTTTTGTATGACACATTGGGACCGATTGAGAGGTAGGCTATAAACAAGCGTTGATACAAGACAAAAAGTGTCTTAATGTAACTGATCCTACTATCGTTAGGCAAAACATGGATTTCGAAGTGTCAAATACGAGCGTAGACTTAACAAGGAGAATGCAAGTCTTTTGGATCATTGATCTAGTTGAAACTTTGCAAGCTTGTAGATTTAATCATCAAAGTTTGAAAGGACTTGAACCTCCTTGTAAGTGGACAATCCAAAGTAACACAGACCTAATTGGTCACAATATAATAGGTCCATCTTTTTCGAACAACCATACATGCAAGTCCACGAGCAGAATCGCATAGTACTCTACGAGGAATGCGCTACACGGAGTCTAAAAGCACGAATTTCAAACGCGTCAAAGCTAAACTCAAGCAGACCGAACAGAATCTGCCTCTGACCCCTGTCCGACTCGCCAACTTACTAACCACGTGCAGTACATTATTCCTTCCTACTGAAGTCTCCCTTTCCATTCCCAATCCCTGCCAAAAGCCTATCTCTATATGATCATCGAGCAAAGTACAATAGTCAGTAATCCGAGACCACTTCTCTGCCAAACATGACAGCATCTTGCTCCTTCGACGAAGTCTTCGATCCTATTACATAGTTGGCGAGCTAGCCCGTGCTACCCACGATTCGTTCACCGTTGTCTGACAAGATGTGTCCCCGGTGAACTCACGTAGGTGACCAATTTTCCCATCGTGTCATAGAAACCGTGGTCGCGGAATCCCGCAAGAAGCCGCGGCTTTCGTGTGCACTCCGTACACCGACACTCGTGTCTCTGTGCACGGTCTGGCGTTTGCACACGGAGAGAGGGTGGGACTGAATTTTCCCTGATACTCCCGCGAACCGACAGATCCTCCAAGGCCGTGCAACCTCCTCCGCCTCCACGCGGGCCTTCCATATTTCACGTTCAAAAAGCACGATGGGATTTGAGGCTGGCCAACGTATGCGCGCGATAAGTGTATATAGTGGCAGACTGGTCATATATAACCGGGCAAAGTAGACGTTAGACTTAGGGGATGAACGTGCTCGTTGCAGGCTACAAATCTACGCTGAGCCTTGCAACGCCGAAGCCCGCGAATACTGTACCGTCGTCGTTCTGGTAATACCCAGCGACTGAAGGAAGCTTTCTACTACGTGCCGGCTTCTTTGTACCCCGTTGCCAGCATTATTAGCCTGGTCCAGCATCGTTTCGCTGTAAACCGGTCGCGGTCTGTCCTAGGCCAGGTTGCTTGACGTTCGGATCTCCGATTCGGATTACGTTCCAAGGCGTACACGCGCGTTTCATGCACGACGAATACGCTGGCTCGGTAGGTAGGGTATAGAGTATGATAGG